CTGTGAATATGGTTAATTATTGTTTAAAAAAGCAAGTTTCGAGACAAACAAAACAAGTCTCTGGAAGTCGCGCACGGAAAAACTTGCTTTTTTAAACAATAATTAACCATATTCACAGTCATATTTCACAAAGACTAAAAGGGATCCTTTTCTAAAAAATAGACCAGCATAGTGTACAACTCGTGCACTATAAACTAGTATAAAAGATGGAAATGGGTCTATTCTAATTACTGAAAAAAAAGCTCGACATGGGTGCAGAATACTGCTCGGGTATCGTTGATATACCGAGCAGTCTCAAAATATACCACAGCAACCAAGATGGTTCGAGAATCTCGGTTTACTGGTGGTATTAAATAAAAATGTTCGACATAGATCGTCTTCAAAAATTCTCACTACGTTAAATTCAAATATAATTTCTCACATAAATTCATAACCAATTCCCTCGCGAGTTTATAACAACTTCTAATTGAATATTAATTTACTCTATGTTGGATAAATGAATAGTACAGAATAGCAAACAGAAGCAACACATCAGTTTTAATTCTAAGATTCTCGCGTTGTTTTTGCTCCGAACGCGATCTTCTGTAGATGACGGTGAGTGTTAGGCGGTACAATCAATGTACGATTTCGCTGATAGCAGTGGTTCTTAACTATTATGACTATCGTGTCCTGACCTCTCTCGTTTGCGTGCGTTCTTTTAAGGTTCACCAGTAACAGAAGGATGGTTACAAACCAACGAACCAGCCATCGAGCACTTCTGAAAGATTGGATTCTGACGGTTGCATTTGTTCGAGCATTCAGGGTCAAGATATTCTTTCGAAGATTTATTCTATCAAGGAGATGAAGACAATGGACTTCCATGTATGCCTCCGTGAAGTATCACTAGAAAAGAATAGAAAACAGATTACTCTGCGCTTCATTCAGTTGTTTGAATTAAATTAACTGTGTTGGCTGTTCCAGAAAATTAAATATTGACCATCTGCTGTACATTTTTGAGATTTAAAAAAGTAAATTCTAAAACAAGTAACGTACAAAAACAACAGGCGTTCAAAAGCAAAAGTTCATTTGTACGTTTTATGGTAGATAAGTTTTCGAACTGTCCATTGTATGACCTTAAAAAAGAGAAGTTTACAACGTCGTCCTAGCAACTTTGAACTTATATTTGCAATAGCATACCGAGCATATATCGGACAATTTATATAACAGACAATGCCATTCGAAAGGCGATTCAGGACTGATTCAGATTTCATGGAGATCCGTTGTATACATTGTTTAGGGTACTACATAAAAATTTGGTGAAAACTCGCATATCCAGATCCAGAACGGGCTGAGCTGTATTTGATTTTTTTTAAAAACTTTCGTTTTGGGAGAAAATGAAAGCGGATTACTGGAATCCAAAATTGCCATCGAATGAAGGACGTAATAAGCTGTATATGAATTCGTGGGAATATCGAAAAAAAAAGAGAAGTTTCGTCAACATGTTGATATAGACTGCAAAACAAAAATTTTCCTACATATTGGACTGTTTTGAAATTGTAGTTGAGAATACGGATATTCTAGAATGATTATTCCACATGTTATTACTTAAGTTTACTAAAAGAGGCTTTTAAGTCTTACCAAGTACAATCAGTGGATAACCATATATATTTTAAATATTTTTTGAACATGTGTAGTAATATACCCTTATTGGGATATTCCGATTGGAATGTTGATTATATCTCGATTGAGATATGTATCTCGTTCAGGATATACTCTATAGGTCGATTGGGAAAATTATCCCGTTCGGGATACATGACATGAGACTGAACTGTCAGTAGGGAGTCGGACCAGCTGTCAATAGTTTTAGATGTCTTTTTCATCTTGTCTAAGTATTTGTAACAGTCGACAGTATGAAATATGTATTTGGATAGAAAGAAGAGAATGAAGTTGTTATCAAATATTTATTCTGTTTTATACTTCAAATAAATTTTCTTGTTCGTCTTCCATGATTTTTACTCATTATATGAGCCAAAAAGCTAAAAAATGACTGAAAAATAATTAATTGAGATGGACTCAGTCTACGTACAATCTATCATCGAAACAATTTGGAGTTAACAACAAAAAGAGAAGATTTAACAAAAAAAAAGAAATTGATCTGTATTCTCTATGAAACAGGGCATTTTTTTTCTATTAGCGAAGAACGTAAACTTTTAGTTTAGATATTACAATATGAGTACGAGTTCAAGGTTAACATCTATGAATATCAAGTTTCTTCTATTATACTGACATTTAATTAAACGAAGAGAAAATTCTAATATGAAGAGTATTATTATTTCAGATACCTCAAAATCTTGAAATATGAATCTTGCTGTCAGTAATTATTTAGAAAGTGTTTGGTTTTTTATTTAGATCTATTTTTAAAAATATATTCAAACTCACTCTGTTCAATATAAATTTTAATAACTTATCAAATTAAAAGAAGTGTGTACGATATGGTGCAATAACAAATAATTGAGAAATTTATATACTCTTGATGAACAATGGACTGGTGAATGAACTGGTTTTTATGTATATGATACTTACTTTAAAAATATGATCAAAAGACATGATGAACGATGCTAACAATGATAATAATAAGACATAAATAAGACAAAAGTAACTGACTGCTTTAGGTAAGATTTCAAAGTAAATTCGATTCATATCAATTAATTTTAAAAAAGTGAGAGTTTAAAAGAAAATCGCGACGAAACTCAGTATATTTCAGTTATTTACTTGGGTATTTTAGGTTACCAGAGATAACAGATTTTTTAGCTCAATACGTTAAAAAAGTTGACCTGATGCAACTGTAATTGTTGACAATTTTTTGTTTGCTATATACTTATTCAAATTGCCGATGTAGTAGGCGACTATTTAAGTTCATACACAGGTTTTAGTTTACTCTGTAAATACATGCTTCGATTTTTTAATTTATTTAGTCGGTATGGATATGAAACATCTTCGACGTATTCAAGTTAATGATGAAAATATCTCGTTAAAAAATTTCAATATTCAAAAATCAATTTTTTGTTCAATGGTGGTAATATTTATCTATTGACTGACAATGTTCATATTCGAATCATAATCTTCAATTTTGTATGTTTATTGGGTTAAATGAAAGAAAACGAGCAAAACTAAATTTATACAAAATCTAAAACATTCTGGTGGCTATTTATTGTTTCTTTACGGTGTTTTTTTTCTTATTTTTATTTTTCGACTGTATATTAGTTAATTTTTGTGTGCTAATGGTTTGATAATTAGAACGTTGATGAAATAACTTATTTTTAAAGATTAAAAGACGATCTTAAAAAAACAGTCGAAATGCAACAGTCAGAGATTTTAGATAGCTTTTAGGAAATTTCTGTACGATCTGATCTGCTATTGATATGAAAAGCAAATAGATTTCATTGATTGATTGAGAGAGAGAGAGAGAGAGAGCACAAAAGAACACTACACAGTTGATAGAATCGAACAGTTGAACTTTGAATTCAAATGTAAAGAATTTACTTTCGGACTAAATTGTCCAAAAGTAAACTCTAAGATGTTCTCATCCTCATCCTGTGCATTACAATAGTGTGTTCTACCTCTGCTGCTCAACTCATACAGCTTATATCCTTGATCAGTGACCAAAGCCTGTATACTCTATGATGAGTTATAGATAGAGACACGTATGATATAGACAGAAAGTGATACAAGTAGGATGTATGGAGATGATGGAACGAGACGGGACAGCACGTATTTTTCAGAGAGAGATTACATCACCAGAACAGAAAAGCTATCTATGTTTTTGGTTGATTGACAAATTTGATCTGTATGTAAACTGACGACTTTAAGAGACAACTGTTTTTTTGTGAAGTTTGGTAATTAGTTTTATCACAGCAATTAGAGCTGTTAATGAACAATCAGAGTTCATTGTGTATATACATGACATCTAAAACCCTGCTTAGATAATACTAATGCTAGATACGTTTTCACTATGATCATTTATTTTGGTCAAAAAATAAACATTTCTTTCAAAGGCTTGAATGAGCATAAAATTTGGGATGTTTGTTGATACAATGTTTGGGAAATGTGTACAAATTTCATTCAGACTGATTAAAACATCAACAATTTTTTAATTTTCTTTAGTTAGCTAAGCGATATTAATCTACTAGTAAAAACAATATTAAAGCTTTGAGAAAGTTTTTCCATGGCATAATAGATGATCTGTGACCGAAATAGAAAAAGTTGCTCTCTAACCCTCTTTTTATAGGAAATTTAACAAAGAAGAGGATGACTCTTTTTTCATAAGACTTTGTGTGCAGACATTTCCCACATCCAACTTGAACAGAACAAAACAGATATATAACTCAGTCAGAAGAAGAAAACGATAAAAGGAAACATCTGCTACACGTGATACTTGTGAAAAGAGCTATCTTGTTTGCTATATTCCTACATATAATTCGATGCCGTTAACAAAAAACTAGGAGACTACAAGAAAATTTTGTATACATCTTGATGTTTTTTTGAGAATTTACATCATTCTCACTTGCTAAAGTTAACTCCGATTATGCAGAAAGTGCTAACAACAAAGAAGTGTTTTAAAAGTCATCACTAAAATAGATGGGTGTTAGACTATTCCATCTAACTTAGGAATTCTTTAGGTAGCAACAAATTTTAGATGCTTGATCAACATCTTCAATAACCTGTTTACAAGCTGTACTTCCTTCAAATAAAGCTGGCTAATATCGCTTCAAAAAACATTCGTAGTTCATGAACGAACCATGAGTTTTCTTTTCTTTTATAGATATTATGGCTAGCACAACAAACACGCGTCATTTACTAATTACTGGCTCCCCTGGTACTAGACTATTCTTCAATAACTTATTGTTGGTAACAACATCGCTTTTTTCTAGGCGTTGGTAAGACAACATTACTTTGTCGATTATGTGAATTAGTAAAAAAAACTTATCCTGATATTGTCTGCAATGGTTTTTATACCAAAGAAGTTCGCGAACACGGTTTTCGTATTGGTTTTGATGTGATAAGTATTGACCAAATTCAACAACAACGAAGTGAATTAGCACGTATTGAGTGAGTAATGAATCAATTTTTTATAATTAATACCAAGGGGTGTTTAATTATTTTAGTAAATATAGTCATGGTGGTTGTAGACATCCACGAATCGGACAATATAATGTTTTTGTTGAAAATTTTGAACAAATTGCCATTCCAATATTAAATGTAAATATGAGCGGTCAAAAATTTATATTCTGTTTTATCACTCTTAGCTAGCTGTTTGGTATTTCAGTCTATTCAACCACCATGTATTTGTTTCATTGATGAAATTGGTAAAATGGAATTATTCAGTGAAAAATTCAAACAGATTATTCATTCAATTATTGAACAAGATAATATAATACTTGTTGCAACCATTCCAATAAAACCAGTAGCATTTGTGGATAGAATAAGAATTAGAAGAGATTGTCAATTGTTAACTGTATGTGATTGTTCCGTCATAGAAATAAAAGTTATAATCACTGAAAACGCTCTTTTTCTTATTTGTAGGTAACAAAAGAAAATCGTGGCTCAAATTTAGAAATAGATTTATTGGCAAAAATAAAACATTCGTATGACAGTAACATAAATAAAACAACGTAGATATCATGATCTCTTTCTATGTATTGTTCTTACGTTTTCTCATAATAAAGTTTTTGAAAAAACATTTTCACTAAGGACGGAAAAGCTTATAGTATAAGTTTCAAATCTGCTTGCATAGTTAGATATTAAATTGTACGTTCACACAAATTCATAAGCCTTTGTTTAGTATTATACCTGAGCGATGGAATATAGGGTGAAGCAGACTGTTCCCAGCTTGATCATACTTATATCTGACTTAATTTGTTCTCAAACTCTACTTCATAAGAAGTTAACTAACGTGTTATAGTAAACAGCATCTCACGGTTACAGTTATAGAAAACTGATGTTACTTTAATCGATTTGTTAATATAATAATGGTGAAACTATTTCAACGCAAGATTGTTTTGTAGGAAAAATAAAAGTGAACATAATGGGCGATTTTTGTTTAATCCCATTTGCATCTATTATACACCCACCAAACGAAAACATTTTTTTTTGAAAAAATAAAATAATAATCGATGCTGTTTTGCATACTAGTCACATCTGCACTTAATCTTTTGAACTAAACGCCAGATAACCCTCTGTCTTTCATGAATCGTAACGCATTATCAACTGTAGGATTAATAGATGATAATAATACAGCCGATGAATTCACTGTGATCGAGGTAAATTAATTAATTGATTGACTTTCGTCATCAAACTTACGATATACGTTACCAATTTCAGTATGAAGTTACAAATGAACGATTGGTAAAGAAATTGGAAAGAAGTGAAGCGGGTATTACAAGAGACTCAAGCAGATAACATTCGAAACTATTAGATTTCTACGTTATCTATATTTTCTCCTTTCCAGCTTCCAGGGGCAAGTGTATTATACCAAAATGGATGCTTCCTGTTATTGTAATTGCTCTTGTTTTGGCAACGTTCGGTGCTGCTTTTGCATTAGGCTTTTACATAACACTTCCGAGGAGTGAGTATCTTTCGAACTCGAAGATGATAATGTATTTTTGCTAATTTAAGGGTGATCCTTCGTTCATATTCTAGGGAATCTATTTCTGAATAACTTTTCTATCAACACTTTCTCTTGAAAATGCTTCATTCGAGCGAAATTTGACCAACGTGCTTTTAAAAATATTTTTTCCAAAATTCCATTGGCCAGGTCAAAGCGGAATAACTCAGTCAAAAGTTGACCGAAAAGTTGACCGAAGTTTTTTATAGATACAGGTTGATGTTCTCTATCGATTGAATCAAAATCGAGATTGTAAGCAGAAATCTGAAAATTTTATTGAAATTTTAAAAATAGGGCAAAAAAACGTGGAAAAATTAAAAATTTTTGTTTTGCAAAAACTACAAGTCGGGTGACCAAAAACATTTTATCATATGTATTTCAAACTGTCCTCTAAAAACGGTAGAAAAAAACGGGTGACAGGACCTCCCGCCCCCATTAAAGAAACAACAAGAAGTGACCTTATTTTTCCAAGCAAATAAAATACAATAGTTACTCCTTCAAACGAGAATCTAAAAGCTTATTGCTTTGTGTTAGTTAACTGCATAAATTTTTGAAATTAGTATGAAATGAAACGATGAGACTAATTATGTTCTTAGTTTAGCTTTTATTCTTTCACCTCGTTTATACAATGAATCATGCACAATATTATCAACCGAATGTGATTCAGTACGCGGTCTTTATTGCCCAAGTGGGACGTGCATATGTAAGGAGGAGTAGACTCTATTATTCTAAAACAAATGATATATTTTATTGATTATTCAGGTCAAACACAAAATGCAACATATAACGGAAGTTATTGTGTTTGTTCAACCGGCACCCATTATGAAAATCTAGTGTGCAGTTAGTGCGATACCGCTAACTATTCTAAAATTTAAAATAAAAGGTGTTCTTTCTTATTTCAAGCTGCCGACAAAACTTATGGTCAGACGTGTAGTCCACCCACCATCCCGTGTGTAACCTATTTGATATGTTTGAATGGAATTTGTTCTTGCAATACTTCAACGCAATGGTTCAGTGGGACAAGTTGTATTTCTCTCTACACCTACGGACAAGCTTGTACACAAACAACACAGTGTTCAGCGTTGAACGGGCTATCATGTATAAGGTAGGCAAACTAAACTGAAATATCAATTCATCTTACGAACAATATTTTAGTTCAATATGTTCGTGTACAACAAGTCAATACTGGAATTCAACGGCATGCGGTAATAGGTCAAGTATTATATTATAAATCAAATTTCATATCTGATACTTCTTTAGTATCAAAAATTCAGGGATGGCAGACATGTAATAATCTTACAAGTGGAGCATCTGCTCTTCCATGTGATCAAACGCTGGGTTTAAGTTGTTACTCAAACTTTAGTTGTCAATGTGCAAGTACGATGTATTGGGATCGAAATTATTTAATTTGTCGTAGGTGACAGCACGCCAATCGTAATACCCATTAGTTTTGTTTTTCGTTTTGTTTAGAAACCAAAAAATTGTATACGGACATTTGTGACGGCAATTTTTATTGTAATGAAACATTAAATTTAATTTGTCCAACAGTACCGAGTAAGTAATATATAACATTTATTAGCACTTTGTAGATCAAATATTTGTGTTTAGATACTTGTAATTGTCCAACATTTAGCAGTGATTATACATGTGATTGTCAGCCAAATTGGTTTTATGATGGTATTCGATGCGGTAAAGAGCTACAGTTTTTTCAACAAAATAAGATTGGCGAATACCATGTTTTGTATTCATTTTCAGTTAATCGGAAATCTATCAATGGTACCTGCCCCGGGTCGTATGCATGTGATATATACACACCATTAGTATGCGCATATGGTGTATGCACCTGGTAAGAAGGCCTTACATTCACATTTCTTACTCTTAAAAACAAAACAAAAAAGAATGAACGTTTCCCTTAGACTTTATGAATAATTTAGACCAATCAAAATTTTCATCTTACGAGGGAATCTCGTCAAGTGTCCCACTTCGATTTAGTCCATATTATGGGGATAGGTAGAGCCTACTGTGACTAGAAAAAACTCAAGAGGATATCGGCCCATGCGGCTTCCTTCCCGAGTTATAAGCAAATTACTCTAACCACAGCGAAAACTAGTCAGATGCAAGTCGATAATTCTTCAAGATAAAAAGTTGAAATTTTTATCTTAATACGTTCAGTCATAGAGTAATTATACTCAAGGTCCCAAGTTCAAGACTGATATAGATCAAGAGAGCTCAATTTTTCAGTAAATTTTGACTCATTAAGTAAACGATACAGTGGTTCGAAAACTTTTTCAATTTTCTCCTCGACTATAATAGCTAGAACAAATTTAAAAAAAGATTTGAACGGCGGAAACAATTTGCAATATGATGTGGTATGTATAAAAGTACCATCAAAATTTCTGAAATCAGGGTCTGTGAAAAATCAGAATCTCAGAAAACCGCTTCTTCGAATATGATCGAGAAAGTTTTCGCAAATAACTTCATCGTATAGAGCAAATATTGTTGAACAAAATGAGCCATCTTTAAACTCTCTAAGATAGTTTTTCATGGAACAGAATTCAATTTACGAAAGGTCCGGAGGACACATCTTCCTTGTTTTGCAGTTAATTTTGCTGATATGGGATCTGTCGTAAATTGAACATTACGTGGAATTTCTTTGACATGATCATTGATAGAAAATTTTGGATTATCTATCCACATGATACCGGCAAATGATGAAACAACTAATTGAGAAAAACGTGGATAAAGTTTATGATTACTACCACGACGAATATTTGCTGTTACTAAACGATTTAATAATAGTTTTTTTAACGAATTTTCATTGATAGAACCTAAAATAAATTTATTAATAGATACTAATTTTCCGTGTTTAGTCAAAACAGAAACCTTCTGTCCAAGATGATATCGATCCATGCGGCTTCCTTACTGGGTTGTAAGCAAATTACTCTAATTACAGCCAATGTTGCCATCCATTTCTATCTATTACACATTTAATAAAAGTTGATGTCATTTTTAGTCCGTCCCCGATGACATGGTCCGTTTCAACTTCAAATTGCACATGCGGCTCTGGACAATACTGGACCGGAGCCGCTTGTGCGACTGTTGGAAGACGTTAAAGAACCAAGACATGTGTAAGATGTTGGACTGGCAGACCGTGCTTAATTATCCTGTCTAATAACTAAAACTACCGCTAATTATAACCTAGGAACACAATTACATTTACTTTTGTTTGTAATCTGCGAAACTACACGTTCATACAATTTATTATTTGAAGAATGAATATTTCATTAAGAAACTTTATACCAGGTGTCATAGAGTTAATGACCGAACTGTCGAGATATTTTCTCCTATTCTGAAAAATCTCTGCCATCCAAGAATGTTTTGCCATATATTTGATGTTCAATTAAATAACTGCTCATCAATTTTCAACTATCTACAACTAGAGCGAGCTGTGTGAGAAAGTTTCAATCTAATTGAAAAAAAACAGGAAGGTACACAAACTTTTTTTTCATCTATCTACACTGTAAAAAATAAAGTGTGCCCATTAGTGTGCATTCCCCCAAGTGTGCATTTCGAGTCCAAAGTGATGTGCAAATTGTCACTGCGTAATCTGAATTTTTATCTTGCGTTTCTATATGGAAGAAAACGGAAGAATTCTCGTCGGTCTTTTTCTCGTTCTGTCTGTGAAAGCTATATGCGCAATTCCAGTGTGTTACAGGCACACTAAACAAGCCATTTTCAGTGTGCGAAAATAGTCCAACGTGATGTGCACATTCAATGTGCTCCAGGTACACTTTATTTTTTACAGTGTGCAGTCGAAAGCACTACTAGAAACCTCGAGAAGAACGATACTTCCCATATTTTCACTAGTTATTTTAAACACATTTCAAAAATTTAAAACGATTTAATGTTGATCCTAATACTTTGATGCTGTCTCCATTTTCATTTTACTCAAAAATATTATAATAACAGAAAAATTGTTGAATTGAGAGACGAACGATGGATGACTCTAAATACTCTCTACGCAAAAGAATCCATAACAAAACTTTTAATGTTCCGATTTCTCATACGAAACTTCAAAGTTTCATATATCCAGGAAAGAGTTTCGGAGCACACTTCTGTAGTTCATGAGTAGTCATCTGGTAATGAAAGCGGCGAATTGCGTAGGCAGGAATGAATAACTTTTGATAAAAAGAGCCAGACCAAAAAACAGCAATTGAATGATAAAGAGAAGTACGCTTGTTTGTTTGGTGTTTTGGTTCTTTCTAAATCAAACTAGCCGTATTTTTTTTTGTCGTTTTTAACCACAAGACACCATAAACGATTGTCTTCCTTTTTATTTTTGTTTTTGTTGTAACGCTGCCCTACAGAAAACTGAAAATTGCTATTCTAAGGATCATAGCCACTTTTGTGTAACATTATTGCGTCCCTGAGAACTATGCTCACAAAACGTTCGATATTTTAACAAGTGTTTGCGTCTAGCTTTTCAAACATTTTTATGAGTTTTTTATCAGTTGAGATTTTTATAGTTTTTCTAACTCATTTAATAATTCAGACAATATGAGCTATAAAACAAGTGTTTGAATACTTGACAGTTCGTTTGAAGTTCATTAAAAAAACCATTAAAGCTTTTTTCCATCATTCTGACACAGAAAAAGTCATTTTAAACACATAAAAATATTGTTTTGATCAATTTTTCGCGTTATACCTGCTCTACTAGTAAGTATAGATAAAAATGGTACATATTTTGGAAAAAGGTAAAACAATGCGTTTCTAGTCTTATAATCACAAAAAACGTATGAAGAAGATAACGTATAGATCCAGTTTAATACGCTGTTGAAAGAACCATCGATTTATAGAAGATAACTCTTAGTTTTGTTTCAAACGAACCAGAATATGCACGATAAGAGGAACATGCCAAGATATTTGATTAGTATATCAAACTTTTCTTCTAAATGAGAAAGAGCAATGACTTGAAAGTTTGGTCAAGTTTGTTCTATGCGTCAATATCTATTTGTCATAGAAAGATTTTACTTCGTACTAAGTAGAACCAGATATACAGAAAAAAACAATAAAAAAAAACGTGACGAAACAATGGAGTGAGGTAAGCACGTTCTGACTTAATTCGAATTTTTTGAATTTTTTGTTTTAGTAACAAGTCACTTAAAAACTTTTTTTTAATGAGAGTATTACGTGATCAATGGATCTATCTTTTGACCATAGTTATACCAGGACTATTCATTCATTCTAAAAATAATGCTTTATTACATAGAAGAATATCTTTTACGAACAATTTTACTACTACGTGTCTTTTTGACAATATCTCTCAAGCATAAAGAATAATTAATTAAATCAAATAGTACGCTTTGTACTCCATTTTATTATGCTAATAATCGGCAAAAAAAGAAATTTTATAGATCGTTTCTAGATAGAAATAAATCGTTTTTATTTGTCCCTATCAGACATATTCAAACGAGCTACGGATATGAGAAATATACCCGGAAAATATTATCAATTTTGATTGAAAATTATAAGAGTAATAATCATCGTCATGTTGTCTCTTTAATCAACACAAATGGTTTGAAAACATTTCATGTTTATCTCAATAATTTTGAAAAAAAAATCAAGATAAAAGGCTAATGCATATTTTTCTCTTAAGTCATACTACCTCTCTATAACCGTTGTCTATTGCATGTTCTCTCCATCAAATTTTTTTTATCCGGATTTAGCTATAGGGCATTGTAATGTGGGGTAAGAAGTTACGAAAAAGAGAAGTAGTAGAATATATATATATATATATACAAGAGAGAAAGAGTCTTACATATAAAAATGTCATCATTTTTTTATGCATTTTCTACTCTTGTCTCTTTCTCTCTTATAATAGATTGTTTTTATACATTTTATAACATCAGTTATTTATTATTAATTTCGTTAAAATACTCTTTTACGCATTTTAGTCTCTTAAACACATTTTCTATTCTTTTAACTAAAATCTTGTTCAATTGTTCGAAAAAGTAGGGGATTTTTTTTTTATTTTTTTATTTTTTATCATCTAGATATACTACCAGTAGCATACAATACTTTTACTTGATTTCACTATTCTATCATAGAAGACTTCCTAAATGAAAAAGAAGAAAACAAAAAGTTTTTTTTTCAAAGATGAAATAATAATGCTAATATATTGATGATGTACTGTTTCATGTGAATAAAAAAAAAAAAAAAAGAGATGTTGTTGAAAATATTTTTCACTCATTTTGTTTTGTTTTTTTTTTTTTTTTTCTTCGTTATGTTCATAACTTCATAGCTATCTCTGTCTCTCTACAGAGTGTAAGATAAGGCCGAACAAAAGAAAAGAAAATGGCAGATGAAACAGAGAGAAAATCAGGAAGAAAAAAAGATATATAAAAATATATAAAAAACTTAATTGTCTATAAAAATGCCTTCTTTTGCTTCTTTTTTTTTTTTTCTTTCATGCCCTTCGATGCTTATTTTTCTTTTATGATTTTTGATGATGCACCGTCCAGGCATAAGGTAAAGTATTCGTAAATTCAGTTTAGAAATCCCTTTTTTTTTTTCAATTCGATACTAGTTCATCAGATAAAGACGTTTTTCATTAGAGACTCATTGAAAATTCGAGTTCAACCTTTTATCAGCGAAGATCAAACTACAAATCAAAGTTTCAGTTGTATATTATTCGGTAGATGATCTATTCCGTTTTAAGAAATTATTCGAAATAGATAGATGATCGTTTTTTGAGAATATTACGTTGATAAGAAACAATATCTGTGGTTTTTATATGAAAAATAATCTATGTGAAATAAAAAAATGTACGAGAATAAGAAAATGTTCTAATATGTACAGAAAAAGTTTTATCTAAGACAGTAAGTGTTTTATTTTTTATCAAAAACTATTTTTCTAATCGAATCATATATTAAATCGGGTTTGAGTTACGTTTTCTTAACCCATATAGATTTCTATTTTCTACTAAGATTTCTATCATCTATCTCGATACATAAATGAATGAAATAGATTTTAAAAATTCAACTTCGTTTATGTCCAAGACATATATATATATATATATATGTACGTAAACAAAATCAGATACTTTATTCATTAAAAATAATTCTCTTTCTCAAGATCGTCGAACTTAATTACAGTATGTGGATGATATACAAAAGATTCAATTCATGTCTATTTAAATCATGTCTATATATGTGTTTTCGTACGATAATTATATATATATTCTCTCTTATATCACATTTTTCCTTCCTTTTCTTTCTAGTTTTTTTACTCATCATATATATGTTTCTACATTTTATGAATAAAAAAAAAACACAAGAAAAAAATTTTCTTCTGTGTTCAAAATGAAAACTTAATTTGATGTAAAGTCTACCATTAAAATCATCTAATATAAATACAATATAACTGATCCAATATACATAATAGAAATAAAAATAAAAATGAATTATTTTCCTACAATAAATAAATATAAATTTCAAAGTGCATAATATAGAACTATAAGTGATTTTTAAAATTTGTTTTGAAAAACTTCACCACTAATCAAGTTATACTTTTAATGTACATAATTACAGTTATAGAATGACATGCAAAAACATTAATAAAAGAAAAGAACTTTTCATTTACATTATATCTCTGCTTAGATAAAATATTATATCGACCAATGAAATATTAAAAAAAATTCTACCTTTTTAATTCAAGAGGGACTTTCTATTATTCATCATTAATCACAAAATACAGCAATATGTGTTAATTAAATTTTGAAGTGATAATTGCTTTGTTGATTGCATGTTTGTTAGAAAAACCAGATCTGTCATTGTCAAAAAATGATAGTGAGAGGAAAACAGTTTTAGATAAACTAGTTTATTTAGATAAAATAAACTTAGTCTCTTGAAAGCAATTCGTCTAAGAAAAATAAAAATATTACATATTGACAACGTGTTTTAATCACAATTCTATAAAACTTTCCTTTTTTTTTGTTGGTAGAGTTTAATATTTCGAAAAAGTATATTTAGTAAGAGATTTTACTGGTATTTTTGTTTTATTTTTGTGTAGCACAAATAATGATGCAATTAAAGGTTCAATCCAGCATCTACAGCATTATTTGCCGTCTCATTCATCATTATCATCATTTATGGACTTAAATTTCACCTATGAAGGTAAAAGAAGTTTGTTCATTCCTTTATTCAAGCGCTCTATATTCGCAGTTATGTTAAAACTTTTAAGAATGTAAACGTTATATTATTTTAAGCTAAAAGAGAGCGCTTTATACGTAAATTTTAGGTACTGAAAAATGGGCGTATCAACAATGTAATTATAACGTGAAACAAAATCGTTTTCTCACACAGAGCAATCGATGCACACAGTTAGTCGATTTCATTTATACGTTTAACAAAAATAATTCTAGTAAAAGATTCTGTAATTATTGAAGATTATCAAACTATCCTTAAGTGAGAGTCTAGAAAACACTCTAGAAAATAAAAGTGAAATATCAGGGTGGTTTACAGTAAAAAATATTCAAAATCATTTAATTTAAACATTCAACAACAACAAAAAACCACTGTTATAGACAAACGACACCGTATTGATAGATCCTCCGACCATACATTCTCTATTAATTTCATTTATCATTAAACATACTAACTCAACAGATATGTCTCGAGAACGATCGGCTCATTTTCATAAAGATAAAAATTCTTTACGTAATCAAGCTCAATATCATGCGTATCTACAAAACGCTCCCATAAAACACATTCAACATCCAGCCGATCGTAGTTCAGTAATTACATATCTTAATAAATTATTGTCATATTTTTTAATATTATTTCTATCAATACCATGCATTTTATTGCTAATTATCTTTTTACCCATATCACTTTTATTTCGAACATTATTTCGTCTTATTTGCACGTATCGATGTACAAATCGACCATGTTCATGTCAATTTTTATCATCAAATGATTTATTTTGGTTTTATGAAACACAAAATAATCAACCGAATGCAGCAGCCATTTTTATATTAGAAGGTAATATATTTTTAATTAAATATAGAAAATTAGTATCTATTAATAAATTTATTTTAGGTTCTATCAATGAAAATTCGTTAAAAAAACTATTATTAAATCGTTTAGTAACAGCAAATATTCGTCGTGGTAGTAATCATAAACTTTATCCACGTTTTTCTCAATTAGTTGTTTCATCATTTGCCGGTATCATGTGGATAGATAATCCAAAATTTTCTATCAATGATCATGTCAAAGAAATTCCACGTAATATTCAAACAGAACTCGATTTAGAAGTATACATGAATCATTTAATGTCAAATGAATTAAGTCGTCATAAACCACGTATGTCAATTATCAACTCTTCTGTCATCTATGTAATTATCTTTTATCTATTTTAGTATGGGAAATTCATTATAAAAATCGTTTTAATAATAGTAATGATAGTATTATTATATTTCTTTATCATTCATGTATATCAGATGGTATTTCTTTGATACGTATTTTATTAAAAAATGTCATAGATAATCGTACAGCACAATTGGATATTAAGCCACGTTATGCTGGTAGACGTTTACCATTCGATTATATTAAAGTATTTTTATTTGGCTATTTAATTTTATTTGAAAAATTATTTTCTAATGATTCTTATAATCTATTAAAAGTACCAATTCCATGTGGACAAAAAAATATTTCATGGTCAACACCATTTTCATTGTCAAGTGTTAATCGAATGAAATTAGTCACACGTACAAAAATGAATGATTTATTATCAACGTTAGTTATAACATGTGTCAATTTGTACATGGAACATCATGGCATTCGTAATTCTCCCGATATGAATTGTATTGTACCATTTGATTTAAGAAAAAATAAACAACATATTAGAATGGGAAATTATTTAGCGCATGTTCGAGTGAAAATACCGATAAATATTGAAGGAAATATACCAAGGTTATGGGCATTTCACGATTGTATGAAAAATGTTAAATATCAATCAGAATATGCGACAATGTTTTTGTTTACAAAATTAACCTATATACTATTTCCACTGTACATAGGTGAGATAGCCAAGATTCGAGGGAGAAGAGCGGATGAGGCAGATGTTCAGCTCCTAACAGAATTATTACTTTTTTCTATCAAAAACATATCAAGGATTACTACGAAAGCTTTATATGGCTTCTTCTCTCGAGATTTTCTTGAATGATTTTGCGATATCTAATCCCCTAAAGGATTTTTGGAGAAGCTTTTTCTCGCATTTTTATGACAATAAATAGACTTTATGGAGAGTTTTATGTTGATTACGGATATCGTCTTTAAAACTTTAAAAGAATTGACTTGGCATGGGCAAAAAGGATTTTTACTGTATTAGGACACCATCATCTCATTTGCGTAAAATGTATCGCTGTACTAATGAAGAAAATGGTCGGATATATGCAAAACTGAACGTTCGTTCATGATATGTCCTCCAGAACTCTACCACCAAGCACAAAGTTGTTAAAAAGTTCAAAATACCACGCAACAATTACAAATTTTCTGTATTATACTAGATCTTTTTGATACTATAATCTGAGGAGAAGCCCATACAACTTCAGAGTTTTACCACAAATGTAGCTTTTCATGCCCTATCAACTACTAGTATCAAAATAAGTCAAAAGAGTGTATGTTATGTTCAAAACGGAGAAGTGCTTGATTTCTACTGATCTTGACGGTGGTATTTCGAACTTTTTGACAATTTTGATTTTAATTGTATAATCCAAGAAAATTTTGAGAAAAGAAGCCGTAGAAAACGTTCGTAATAATCCCTAGCATGTTTCAACAAATGAACAAAAACAATTCTATTAGGAGCCAGACACCTACCTCATCCGCCCTTCTCTTTTATCCAATGAAAAGTAGAGAATATTTCAAACCTTCCGTTGACAGTTAGCCCCGACTCTTCAATTTGGAGTGTACACAACACGACTAAGTTGAACGATTTTTGAATTTATATTTATATAAATTCATATTAGAAAGAAATTAGTTGTTTTGTTCAAGATTCTAATTAAATATATGGAAAGTAGAATAAAACTAGTTTTATTTTACAAGTAAACTTTGATCATCAATAAAACAATTCTGATAAAAAATGGTTTATGGCTAAAAACTTTCTAAGCTATATTTTCAAAATCACATTGCTTTATAAGAAAATGAGTAATAATTATTGATTTGTACTATAAGACATTCAAAGATACTTATTTTTTATTCTGCTCGTTTAATAAACGCTTTAAGTTACTATTTTTAGCGAATAAAATAATTGCTCGTGTATACAATAATGTTAGTTTTTGGTTAACGACAATTACTACTAGAAATAGTACAGCATTAGCAACAATGTCTATTTTAAATAAAGATATACGAAGTTACATGTGTCTTAGTCCGTCTGTTGGAGCGTGTACGATTAGTTTTTGTGTTACGACATACTCAGATGAAATACGCTTAGGTAAGTCTAGCAGATTACCTTAACAAACATATCTATAGTAAATCTTATTCTTCATCTATTCTAGCTGTGATTGCTGACTCAAATATTATGCCTGATGTCAAATTTATAACAAAATGTTTTATTGAACAAGTAGGTAAATTAACGTGCATACAAAATCCATATACACACTGTAAAATAACAAGCGCCCCGAAGCACTTTTTTGGACGATGAAGCTACCGTCAACACGGAAAATGGAAAACAGTAACCCATAGTGGGGCACTTTTAAAAGTGTCCCATTCACAGGGCTGGAGCAAGGCTTCTAAAATTGAGGGGAGGGGAGTCGATAAATTTTTTGTTGTGATCCGTGTAAAACTTTTTGGCTATATACATTTACAGCAGAAGAAAACACAGCAGAAAAAAGAAAAGATTTCGATCGTTGGGGGAGAGAGGGCTTACCCTCACACCCTCCCCCTCCCCATCGCTAAAACCAGCTCTGCCCATTCATCGTCCAAAAAAAGCGCTCCGAGGTACTTATTTTTTACAGTACAAAGCATATGGATCGCATTCAAAAACTAAAGACGGGCGTATTAAACTTTTCTGTTTTTGTGTTTTCACAGTTAGAAACAGTTCGAGATTTATTAGCTCATCGTCGTATACCTGGTGAAGTTCGTCGAATAACACGACCACAGCGTATTATGCCTGCAAAGAAGAGTATCAGTAGTATTTCAGACACATCCGATGATTTACCCATAGAAGAGGTTTGTAATTTGTAGTTTATTATTTTAATGTCTATATCTATATTTAACATGAATTTGATAGATTCAAGCCAAAATGACATCTCTTCAGCAAGAACTATTATCACTAAAAAGTCAATTTGAAAATGTCGATGGAAATGATCCAAATTTCGAAACTCAACGATTGATCATCACAGCGAAACTAGAAGAATTAAGAAAAGAATTTAGAGAATTGTTAATTAAATTACAAGAAAGACAATGTGAATTGAGTGGCATGATACCAAGTGATGAGGAAGAGGAAATGGATCAAGATGTACGGGTTCGTCTACGATCAGCGTCGATTGCATCACGTATATCATTGAGATCGAATAAAGAACCGTTGACAACTAGGTAAACCACGTCTATTTTGCTATTCTCTTGGTCAATAATCGTTCCCATCTGTTCTATTATAGAATATATCAGTTAGAAAAAGAAGAGAGCAGTGGTCATCATCATCGAAATTCCTTTGCATCATCAAAAATGAGTCTAGGAGCTCAAGTAAGAAAGTATTATATATATATATACTTACCACAAAAATATCAATAAAGTTGAAAATAAATCCAACATTTACTTCTAGTCTGGAAGTCAAGTTGGTTTCCATCGTGTTGACTGTGCGACTACTTGTGAAGATTATTATGTCGATCAACGACCATCACTTAGCAATACACATCGTACATCGTCGAGTAAAACAACAGTTCATATTGAATTATGGAAACCCGTGAATACAAAAGATAACCCTTAAAGATGAATATATGCATTCCGTTTAATTTTATAGTCTATACAACAATATTTTTAAAAGAAACATAATGCCTTAGGATGTGCGTCCATTTGTCTTATTGCTCAAATTCTTTCTCATGATGCTGAATATTTATTTTAACCCGGTCAATATTTAAATACGATATCTATACGTGTTGTTTTCTTTTTTTTGTCTTTTTATATTATTTGTGGAATGAAATCGAAAAAACAATTGATTTTTTTTGCCTGTTGTATTTGCATAATAAGCTATTTTATTAAAATGTTTCTCAAGTAAACTCTTATTTAAATTTGATTATTAATTATATGACGAGAGAAAATTTAGATATTGTAAATGATCAAATAAACATTGACTTTGGACCGTGAAATGTTTAATGTTTGTAGAGTATGGTGTATCAAATAGAGATTATTTATCTTCATCTACCATCACTTTATTTAACAAACTTATCTCATCAACACACTAATCCTAACGATTAAAAAACTTTATGGCTTGTATACAGTTTTGACAAAATTTAACAAAAAGAAAAATAATCATTAAAAGTCAGACACAATTAATGACTCATTAATTATTTGTACCTCTATCACTTGTTACTTCATGATCTTTCCAATCTTCTGCATAATTCGCAGTCTCAGGTTTATCTTCTTTTGATAAAGATGCTTCATGATTTACAGATATATCGTCCGTGGTGGGAGCTGTTCGCGGTTTAACACCCCCAACACTTGGAGGCTCATTTGTTGTATCACCCACTGATTTGTCGTGTTTAGTTGATGAGAGATCATGCGTTTTTGTTGTGGCACCAATACTTGGTTTAGAATCAGATGATAAGTTTGTTGTTCTATTATCCATTTTAATCTGAAAAAAGTTATATACAAGAGAAAACCATGAGACAACAATAGAACAACGTAATCTAGTGATGATTATGATAGGATAGCGGTTCTACTAGAAGTGTTCTGCGGAAAGTGTCTCCGAATGTTGCTCCGTCTGTCCCGCGGGACGGGAAAAAAAATAACTTTACGGGCTTAGATCGGTACAAGTCACAGAAAAGTGTTGTCCCATAAGTTTTGTCTTTTGATTGTAACTACGTTGCAACTTCAAATGTCTAATTTTTGTAATATTATCAAATCAAAACCATAACTAATAAAAATTAACCTGGAGTAGCGAAATTGTCTGGATTTGCACTTGAGAAGATGTTTCATATCTAAAACTCGGTTTACAGTTTTTTCCTTTTGATTCTGAGGTAGTGAATGGATGTGAAACATTTTTTTATACATCAGATATTAAGTTTAGAATCAAATAAATTAGATTTAGTTAATTTTAAGTGAAAGTTACTAGATACAGTTTAAGTTTAAAAGGATGAATCATTTCTGATAGAATAAAAAAGAAATACTTAATTTAGAGAAGCAGAACATGTACATTGTACAGTGATATACTCTGTCTTTCTCGAAGGAAATCAACTGACGAGACCCTTGAGAAAGGTCGAAACCGGTCGTGGTATCTTCTTTTGATTCTTTCAGAAATGAATTCTGTCTGAGTCTCTAGTAACTACAAAGCGGTTATAAAATCAACTAAACATAATGATTCAAGTCGAGTTTCACAATTAAAATAAATTAGGCTTAAATTTTGTCATGTGGATTTTGCAAAAATAAGTTTGAGACTTTAAACATCTCTTGTAACAGTTACGGTTCATATCAACAGAAAAAAATTTTCAAAAAATTTACGGGACAAAAAACGACTGTGAACTTTTTTCACGGGACAGACGGGTTCGAGACAATATTATTTGCTCACAGGCTCGGAGCAACAGAAAAGTTTGTCCCACAGGTCTCTATCTATTCGTATCAACCATAAAGAATTACGTAAAACTTATTCTCCGCGATATTTCCTCTTTTCTATATGCGTTATTATACAGATGCATCAATGTGTTTTCTTCTTCCCGTGTAACCATGCATGACCTAGTCCTTCAATTTTGCATGTTCTATATTGATAGAATAGCGTAAAAAATTTCTACTGAATAGATCCAATAAAATTTTTTCTTAAATGTAAGTAACACTTAAATTGTTTAAAAATTTCTTCTAAATAGTATTAAATCTGTAATTTTTACTTTCAGCTTTAACAAATATCAAACAGATGAAACTGTATTGTCAAATAATCCTTATTCTGCTATTAGCACAACTTCAAAATCGTATACAAGCCATAAAATTTTTTAATCGTTGGGATCAGTGTGTTGATGTTTCAGTTGAAAAAGATTTTTTAATTCCGGGTAGTGATAAATATTTTCAGGTTTGTAACAATCAAGAAGAACATTGGACACGTTTAAGAGATAGTTTATATCGGATGCACATATTGCGAACATCGTTTCCCATTGTGGATAAGACGATTTTTTTAAAACATAATGGTTATGTACATTTTCATGAACCAAATCGAACGACGATGGCCAAGTGGTACGGCGCAACACATGAAGAATTTTGAAATTTTTTTTTTAATATAGTATGAACAACACAATGAATAGTTATCACGCAGTACGTTGAACAAGAGGCATCACCAAACGATCACCTGTTCAAAATTACTTCCAAATATTTTTCTCGCGCGTCATGACGATTGCATCTACACGACTAATGTCGTATCCATGTCAATAGTCAAATAAAACTTGTTCAGTTAGCTTTTTTGTATTCTTTTAACACGTTAGAAATAAATGAAAGTTTAGCTAAAACAAAAAAAAATAAAAAACAAAAACAACAAGCTTAAAAAAAAACAAGATGATCAAAAAAATCCCACTAAAATGAAAATAACAACAACAACAGTAGATGATATACTACTAAAAAACGAAACAAATGAAAAAGAAAGTAGAAATATAAAAATTGATTGACGATTCTTACTTTCTCTATGTAGTTAAGTAAACAAAATGGAAGTTCTATATTCTTTTCAGAGCACCTTAAGTTAGAGATAGTCAGCTTAAAAATGGAAAAAAGCTATATTAACCGGAAGACAGACTATAATTCCTTTTACATATTCTTATATCAAATAAAAAATCGGTATGATCCAAAATCAAAAAAAAAAATAAACAACAAATAGTTTGTGTTTGTTAGTAGTTATGCTGAACAGAAATTAATTTTCCTATTTATGAAGGATTTACGTGATCCATAATTAATGCCGATAATACACTTTGAGTGGAAGATGCAGAAGCCTAAATAATAACAGAAAATTTTTAAATAAAACAATATTTAGTGTCTGTTTTTAGGTTGGTGAAATCAAGTAGATGCTACTTAAATAAGCTTCAAGCAAAAAAATCATACACTAAATAATAGATGATCTCAAACGTCTGTAACGAGAATGTCTAGTTTATTTTGAAAGTCACATACAACAAGATCAGTAATTCACATTTTGTCTACATTCAAATTATGATTCAAGCATTAAAAAAATAAAACTAAACAAAAACCGAGCAATATTTCTCGTCATATCCCAGCATCGAAGTTTTAATAATAAGCAGGTCATTATATTTCAGTTTGAGATTACATTACTGATTTTTTGAAGAGTCGTTGTATCAAAAACTATTTATCATGCAAGATAAACGTTGTTAGATATAGGAGTTTTTATACAGTATGAAACTAGTCGGTTTCCAACAAAAACGCTTTTATTCTCTTGTTTAAAATTTTGGCGACTAATTAAAGCATTAATGCTTGTAATCAAACCTCCTAGACCGAAACTGGCATTAAAATTTGGGTATGTATTTGCATACCTTGATCTGATTTGTGTCCTGAAATCCCAAACTCTGGCCAAGCTGTTGCACAAGATCTTGCTCATCATTCAGAGCATCTTGGCCAAGACGAATTAGATTCGTCAATCGTATACGTTCATTTTGTAATGATTGATTTATTTTGTCTAACTCAATAGTTTCCTACGATAGGAAAGGGAGTTGCACAATATGAAGAAACGAATAGAAATAAATAAAGCGTGCAAAAAAAGTTGATTCTAATAAAAAAACTACTAAAGCATTGTGTTCTTGATGAACAAATCAAATAATATTTACCTTATCACGTTCTTCTAATTGTTGACGAGTTGTAGTGACTAATGTAGATTGTTCAACTAATTCTAAATTCAACTCATCAATTTCTTTTTTCAAACGATCAACATCCTAGAATAAACAATAGAGATATGTTAAAGACGATAAAACAACATAATTTTTTTCCTTACCAATACTAAGTCTTCTTTTTCTTTCATAATACTGGCAATCGTTGACTCTTTCTATAAAAACAAAAAATATACATAAACATTATAAAAATCAAGTAAAATCTATTAACTTACAGATTTTAATTCATTAACTAGTGACTCTTCTTTCATCTGGAGAGTTCGTTCAATTTCTTTCAATTGTGTTTCCTACAAATATTTTAAGAAAGAAGTAAAAGATATTGTGAGAACAGCTCTTATTAACGTACAATTTCAGCATTATTCAAACGTAATTGCTCATTCTCTCGTTTTGTATTATTTTCACTTTCGATCGACTGCTGAAGAAAAGAAATAACACATTGTATCAAACTAGACTAAGTCGTCTGTTTTCTCATGTCAGTATAATAAAATTACTGCGTACTTTGCTAGCTGATAAGATAGACTGGAACTTTTCTTGAAATAACAATAGCCAGTGACTGAAATTCTAGAAAAATAAACACAATTATGCTACTTAAAATTAATATCTAGACGATCTAACCTTGTTTTGATTTGAAATTTGTAAAATATTGTCATCATCATTCACGCCATAACTTCGTAATAAATTAGTTAATGACTGACGATAATTTTCTTCATCATTTTCAACTGTACGACGAAGATTAATTTCGAACTCACTGCGTTCATTTTCACTTTTCTATAATACAACGAAAGTATGTGCTAAAAATGAATCAGTTTAATCGATTTTATTAAATATTGTTATCTTGTCTTCTATTTTATATTAAAAAACAGTTCAGTTATAGTTTACCGACGAAGGTCAACTTTCTTTTCTGTTCGCTCAGTGAGAAAATTAGTAAGCGAGCACGTAGATTTCTTTCAGTTTATTTTATCATCATTGCGAACTTTTCATGAAAATTCAATATTGATCGTTACAAAACACTTACTTCATTTCTTGTTTTTGCTTCCTCCAGAGCACTGCGTAATTCTTCAATTTGTCTAGTTTTTTCGTTTAATTCATTTGCATTTGATCTTCAAAAATGAAGAGAAAACTTAAACAATTAAATATGTTGAGTAAAAACCATAGCTTACTCTTCTGATTGACGTCGTGCATTCTCATATTCATCACGTAATTTCTAAAAAAGAATAGTAAACGTTTTACAGTTCGAAAATATACAAACTTTTCACAATATGACATACTTGTAATTCATTCTCTTTCTGTTGTAGATGATGGTTTTCTTGACTCAATGTATTTACTTCATTCTCTTTGATGTTCTAAAACAGCCAATAATAGCGTTAGAATTTGATCAATATGCTGCTATTCAGATGAAGTCGTAACATAGTTTAGTTTGACTCAAAGTGTTGCTGTTTTCTGAAACTAATATAGAATTGCACTGATCTACTCTCAAATAACATATCTGGCAGTATTGTGAGTCCACTATTAGCTCGAGTATCTTAGTTTTCTTCACTTGCATAAATTCACAGCAGCACTCTCAAATCGAAACAATACATACTAATTGCACTTTCAAATGTTCAATTATTTGTCTGTTATTTTCTAATTCATTTAATAACGTTTGTTTTTCCTCATTCAGTTGTTCTGGTTTGCTCTCACTTTGTTTTAATTGTTCTTCTAGTTGATTAATCAATCGTTGCTGTTCGCCTTCTCGTTGTTTCATCTGCTGTAACTCCTCTTGCTTTTCCATTATTTCTTGTTTCATTCGTTGTTCATCATTTTTTATCTGATCTTGTTGTTTCAATTGTTCTTCAAATTGATTAATCATTTGTTGTTTATTTTCGTGTAATTGTTTCAAATGTTCAATCTCTTGTCGTTGTTTATCGTATTGTTCATTCAATTGTTCTAATTGTTGTTTCAATACCGTTTCATTTTCACCATCATGATTAACAAGCACAATATCCTGCTGTTTTAATGTTTTATTTTCATTTTCCAATTCACTCAAACGTGTTTTACATTGATTCAATTCATTCAATACTTGATCAACTTTCTGCTGTTGTGTTTGTATTTGTGAATGATGATCTTGAATGGACTTGGTTAAATCTTGATTTTGCCTAAAAAAAGAATAATGAAAAAATGTACGTTCATAAGCGGAACTTCTCTAATGTACTATACTTTTGTAAGTCATCCTTTTTTTTTAGTTCAGCTGTTATGTGTTTTTCTAAAGTTCCATTTTTAATCGCTAATTGTTGACTTTGAGCACTTAACACTTGGATTTGTTGCTTAAAATCGTTCAATTGGGATGGAAGCGCTGGTGACGTTTGCTGCTGATGTATTTGACTTGTTCGAAGTTGATGATGTAATTGTTCATTTTCTTCAGTGAGCCGTTGCAATTTTATGAATTGTTGTTGTTGAAGAGGGGTTGATTGTGGTTGTTGCATTTGTTGTATTTCTTGTTTATGTTTTGCCTCAAATTGTTGCAATAACAGTTGTTTTTCTGTTTCTTTGTCATTCAATTGTTTAATTAAATCATTTGTCTTCTTCTTTTCTAAATTTAATTCGATGGTCAAATCTTTCATATTTAACATTGGTTGTTGATTGTTTCTCATTTCTAAAGTAAACGATAACATTCAATTTCTATCTGTTATATTGCAGAGATTCGATTCAGTTGCCTGTTGAAGGCATTAGTTACAGAGGTCCTTTTTCATACGACACTTTGACTTTAAAGTAACAGTATAGGTACTGAAACTTCCGGCAGTGTAAGCGACAATTTGATAATTGCGTTCTGCTATACAGCTGTAGTTGTTGTGATAAATTTTGAAAAATACATGTTTGACAATTTCGATTTTTGAGAAATCTATTGAACGACTCTGTCAACTCACCTTCTGAACCAACTCCAGGTTGATGGGATTTCTTTACTTCATCCATAATTTGTCCAATATGAGCTTTGGGATCGAAGACCTTTTGTCCATGTTGAAGCTAAAATGGAATTCGCAAGGATGTTAATAATCTTTACTGCATTGAGGTTCGAAATTTCTTACTTTATCCCATTCTGATTTGACAACTTGTTTGGTTGCTATTCTATACATAATAATGTGCAATTCTTCATTTGATAATGGTGTTGTGTCAAGTACTGACATTAACTCTGTAACAACTGCTTGAGATGTAGGCAGAGCTACAATATAAAATGAAGCAATAAGTAGCCATAGAAGTTTGTTCGTTTTAGTGAACTACCTTTAACGAAATCAACCATTTTCATTGGACGATTCGCTGTTGGTGCTACTTTATTTGTGTTATTCATTAGAGGTGAATTAACGGGTGGTAAGGATTGTTGATTAGAACGATTTACTTGTGTTGATGTATGTGGTACTTGCCGTTCATCAGTCTGAGATTTTAGTGCTTGTTCTTGTACTATCGGATGCACTTGTTGCTGAGATCGAGGCAAACGTGCTCCTATTTGTTCAACAAAGTCTTTGGATTGCTGTTGTTGAGAAGGTGAAGCTGAAATCTGAAAAGTTGAAAAGATTCTTTATAAAATGGTAGTAAAAAGCAGTTATTTTGCTCTTTTAAATCTTTGGTTAGTGCGCTCAGTATAGTTTAAAGACCATGGCTGTAAGAAACCAAGCTACAGAAATGTCAGCATCATCAACATCAACAGTATTTGTCAACCTTGATCTTCATAAATCATAGACTAGAACTATGTTGGTTAAAATATTATGAGTGAACTAGCATACGTTTTTTAAACTTTGTACGGCTGGTGGTGTAGCGGATTTATTTTGATTTGATCCAGCTTGCTGTTGATAAACGAGACCCACATTTTGATTTGATGATGACAATAATTGTTGCTTTTGGGACTGATCTTTTTGACTTTTCTTTCCTTTATCTTGCTTCGCTTCTTGCGATGGAGCAAATGGTTGTTTGTTGTTTTCAACAGCCGATGTTTGTAACGGCACTGTTTGTTTAGTTGTCGTTGTTGGAGCGACAGTCGCCTGTGGTTTCGTTTTAGTTTTCAAAGCAGTATGTGATAGATTTGCATGTGCTAATTCGATTTCATCTTTTGGAGCTGAATTTGTTTTGATTGCTTCCTGCTGTTGAACACCTTTTGTATTTATTGGACTTGCTTCATTTTTATTAATCAAGATTCCATCGCCGCCGCCAGCTTTCTTTTTATGACGTTTTCTAGCCGCTGTTGAAGAGTTCTGTATTATATGTGATTCCGATGCGGTTTTTACAGGATCCTAGACGAAAAAATTCTAAAGTTTAAAAACAAACGTAGAATAGTTCGAAACTTACATGATCAAGCTCACTTTCTTCTTGTTCATCATTTTCTTCATCATCATTTTGTTCGTCACTTGTCGGTGTTGGCTCTTTAAACTTTACTGACGATTGTTGCTGTTGTTTTAATTTTTTCTTTTTGGATCCGCCTTCTTTACCTCCACCTTTCTTTCCACTAACATTTTTCTTGAGAGATAATTTTGAGTCGAACGAGTTTTCTTGTTTCATAAAGTTATCACCTGTTGTTTGAGATGAGTTCCAAATTTGGTAACCCATTCCACCCAGAAATAACAAAATAACCAGAAAAATAACAACAAAGATGAGAATGCCGGATAAATCCATTTTGTGACGACGATGAACAGATGAATGTTACGAGCAGTCTATCTGAAATCAATCGAATCGATTAAAATAGTACTAAATAGCAGCTGTTTGTATTTGCATAGTCTAGAATAGCACATAGAGATTAAAATAAAACAAAAGATGAGAAAGAAATAGCGAATAAAATGGAATATTGTGAGTGTTTGCGCGAGAGCGAGAACGAGAGAGAGACAGAGGAAGATAACGACTTTAACCAATGAGTAAACAGAAAATAGTATCACGAATCGATACTAAATTAATATGTCAGTGTTCGAAAAAATTCAAAAAAACGCTATAAAATAATTAATAAAAATGATTTTAAGAAAATTTGATAATTTATATGATATACGAATGTTCGAGAAGGTATATGATATATAGTAATGGAGATTCAAACCAATACGAATTTACAATAGTTCATCCAAAATATTTTCAGGAGCCCGTTTCATGAAAAACTTAATTTTGATTTAAGTACATGAGTCAAGTCAAAATCTAAGCCAAAGATAAGTCGGACTTAAGTGAAAATTAATTTTTGACTTAAGCGTGTTCCACAAACGACAACTTAAGTTAGACCTAGCAGTTAACCAAGAAATTAAGTTTGACTTAATTTATTTTATGAAACGTGACTTCTTATCATTTCTGACGTTTAAGTTTTTTCGTGAAATGTGTCTCTGTTTTTTATCTTTGTTGTTTTGAGTTGTTTCCTTTTAACTCCAAATAGTAGCTTCACGGAAAATAAATTTGCATTGATTCTGGTTCCTTGGAGGTGCTAAAAGGAGACATAAAGAATTCAAAATGGTTGTCTCCAACTTTTGAAAACGTTAAAAATTTGTTTGATTTCCATTTTCTGGAAAGGTCAGTACCAAAACTTATTCTGTAAATCACTCAAATATGTAAAATTTGTGACAGATTCCACGGGGAAATTTCATCGCGTTTAAAAGCGCGTACGAGTGAAAATTTTTTCAAGAAAAATGAAAGAAAAACGCGTCTGTACGATAAAATTTTCCAGTGGGATCTGTCACAAATGAGATAACTTCTAACAACGTTGTTTTCCTCAGCTATAATAGGCGACCAAGGCAGCTAACTCAGTGGGTTGGAGCCTCCCCTAACTCTGAAATACCTATACCTGCTAAGAATTATTTTTGATTTCGGAGCAGCTGGTAAGCTACCGTTCCTTTTTAGTATTATAGCTTCTTCAGCATTTTTTATGCGAGCTAACGAAATTAATAATAAACAGATATGCACGACAATAAAACATTTTCGTGCAGTGTTTCTAATAAGATTTTTTGCACAGTGTACGGACACAGTCTACTTCTGCAAAGTGTACATGTTGTAAGAAAAAACTTACAACATGTACAGAAGAACTTAAAAATAAAAATTTATTTTTTGTGAGGGTCTTTTTTGAATAAAAAATAGACGTAGAGATTATCACAAATTTCAAGAGAAAACAATTACGCATATTGTGTAATAATGAAAAAATATCTGTTATCTGATTGTTCACTAATAAACGATTTAATCCAAGAAAAAAGAATGAGTCCTTGTTATTCTTGAAGAATGCCGCTCGATATTTGTGCTGAGAAGCTGAGTATAAATTTCAATTTAAGAGTGGCGCACTTTGTTTACACATACGCACTCTGTTATTAGAAACCTTGCAAGATAAGTCAAAGTCAGAAAATGAGGAGTAATTTTTGCAAAAGATTTTTTGGAGAGTTATTGATAATTTTGTTTTTTTCTTACTAGTTTTTAAAAACGGAAATAAATGCTTTAAAACAGAGTAGGGTTTCAAACTGAGAGTAATTTATCAAAAAATCGGAGTAAATACTTAAAAGTGCAGATGGTAGATTATGATTGAGTACTTGAGAGAACGGCAATACGGCTGTTTATATAGAGGTAAAAAAGACGAGCCTTTTATCTATACAATGCGAATGTTTACTTATTGTCGACTGCAATTTCTGCGTATAAAACATAAAAGTTTAAAACATGTCCTTAATTAACTCAAAACTGAAACTTTTAACAGAATTAACAATATTTTCATTCTTTTTCGCATGTTTTGAAATCCTAAAAGAAATTCACAAAATTTTTGAAGTAAGCAAAATAATTATGCTGTTTGCTTAGTTGAGTGTTACACCTTGTCGACATACGATTCGTTATGCGTCACTGTAGACTGTTAGTATTTGAATTGACTCGCATGTTCCATTCATGGAAATATACATATACTCTAAGCTCATTTCCTCTGAATTATTTGCAGCATACATTTTTTATTATTAACATTTTTGTATAATTTGAATTTTTAAAGCTAATTGAAGATAGCTTCCATCATTTGTGGACGAATCCCTATACATATTTATAAGAGTTATGTTTATTACATTATTCATCTCATTAATAATTTATTTTGCAACATTTTCTATAATTTAAGTCAGAAAATTATCATATTTTGTATGGTTCTTCATTTGGCATAAACGTCACATGTTTTTTTCAAAGAATGACTTTAAATTGCTACTCTCTCTCTATTATACATAATCTATCGTCATCATTGTGGTTGAACGATATTGTATGTACAAAATGTATGAATGAAAATCTTCCGAAAACGATGGGTTATGGTGTAGTTATAGGACAAATGCTTCGACTGTCAAAAACATGCATGAATTATAACACTTTTAGAAAAACTCTTAGGGACATGTACAAGAAACTGATAGGGCAAGGATATGTTTCACAGAAGTTGCTAAACACATTCAAAAAGTTCTTTCAAAAATATGATGCTAATATCGATTTTAAATGTATCGCCAAACAACTAATTAAAGACTTATTGAAATAGTGACATTTATTGGCCTGATAATCTATACGAATTTCTGATTTTTTTGATACTAATCTAATGTTTTATCAATCCACAAAATATGATCGTACTAGAATGAAAGCTTTGAAACGATCTTTCTGGTTTCTAGCTGAAGAGCTGACATTTTGTATATGAACTTATTTTAGAATATCAAACACCATAAATGCACAAAAAATTGAAAACAATAATTGCAAACAACAATAATCTGTTGCAATTTTATTACAAAAATCCTATGTTTTTACAGGTTCTGTTGGTTCCTATTTATTTCAGAACATATCAGATGTAATTATGTTGTTGCTATGACTTCTGTAAGTGTAAATTTTACGAGATATTAGTTATATGGTTGAAGTCATCTCCCATTTAAATATAGCATTACACAATGGAGGTATAGAATTGTGTTTCGCAATTTATTATATACAAAAAACAGCAATTGTTTATCGTCTTTTTGTGCGTCTATAAAAAAGTTTTCATAGTACACGGGCGTACCCAGGAGAAAGTTTTTATCGAAGGGATGAAGAGAGCACAATTCGATCTACTGGATTCGTTTTTGCTTAGTTTTTTAAACAGGAACAGTAGTTAATACAACTGTACACTTGGGATCATATCGTACTTTATTAAAGATGTCATGGTTGAAGCTATTACAAATAAATTTGCTTTAAATGTTACCATCTCCGCTTCTATATTAATACTTATACATTATATTATTTATCCGCATTATATCTTGTCACTTTTAGTCATCTGGAAGCTCTTTTGACTAAACATTTATGTTCAACAATAGTTAATTTCAGAAAAAAAAGATCAACAATGGACGTTTTTATGCTTTTTTGTCTTTTTTCATCTACAAAGAAATAAAAATAGAAGAGAAACAAATAAATGAAAACAGGACAAAACTTTATAATTATTTTTCTTTTCATATTTTGTAAATTAATTTGCTGTGATGTTAGTTAAAAAAAAATTGCAACTAGAGAAATCAAAAAAACAAACGATAAATAAAACCAATCGAATGCTTATCACCGGGATTTGATTCACTAGTTGAAATTATTATGTGCTGTGCAGATAATAACATTAGATAAATGAAAGAAACAGATGATATATTTTAATGTTGTTGTTGTGAAAATGTAACAGCATCATTTAACATTTGTAATCTTATTCTTAATGATTCAGATGCTAATGCAATATATTGTAATAATGGCTCAATGGGCACTATACTCAGCATTATCCAGTGCCACCGTGGTCCATCAACTAAAATAAACTATTATTGTAATAAATATTTTTTGTTTAAGCTAAATATTCTAACCTGATTCAATAGTGAAATTATCACAGACAGGATATTCTTGTAATTGATAGTATAATAATGATTTACGATATTCATCTAAATTATCATACCAATGACGCACTTTATCATATGTTGCAGTATTGAGTTGAACTAAATCTAAAATTATTCAAAGTTAACAGGAGAAAATGAGATCGGTAACAACGTATAAATACCATTATATTCATGTTCTTCAATAAAATTATCTCTTACTAATTTGATATGAGCTGTATTATAACCATCTTTCATCTCTCTACTAAGCACACGAAAACGTCTTTGTCCTATTGTATCAACAATTGATCGGCCATCTTCAGTGTACATAATACCACGAATATATAATAATGTCCCATAATCAGCAAACGTTCTATTACAATAAGAAATTAGAAATTATTTCTTTTTGTCAATTAAAATTAGAGAATAGAAGACTTACTCTGTTACTTCATCATATTTACACATTCCAAATGATCTCGATTCTGTTTCAACGCATCTTCTCATCATTAAACGGTATCTTGGCTCAAATATATGTAATGGACAAATGCAATTAGGTAACGCTAATACACATACAAATATCGGCACATCACTAATTGTAGTCAAATTATTATCAGTTACATTGATTAACGAACTAAACGTAGAATGAAATGAAACTAACTTAAAATAGATTTTATAAAGGAAAAATATTGTCTCACAAACCTGCTGCCTTTCTGATGTTGTTCACGTCTTTCAATGAAATCATCTGGAAAATACGTTTTAATCATTCGATCAATTATTTCAGTTTTATTCACATGTGATTGAATAAGCATAGGGAAAAACTATCAAAAGAAATAAAAACACGTTTATACAAGATAATTGTTTGTTTAATCCAATATCTTACGTCGATCAACGATTTTTTACACATGGGACATTTTGCCATGGTATTATCAACAGAACGAATCAAACATTCACGACAAAATACATGACCACATGGGGTTGTAACAGGAAACCAAAACATACTAGAATAAACACAACGTGTTTCATCTATCTATTGGTGTATTACTATCACCTACTTCACACATATTGAGCATTCAAAGTCCCTTATATTCGGTTGTTTACTATAATCGAATTTGTTACACAAACATGATCGTTGATCAGATTCTGCATGAACAGAAATTATATGAAGATCTTAGTTATCTATGAATCTTTAGTACTCTGGCGTCTTACTTTCACAAATGATTCTTGTTTCAATTGAAGATGTTTCGGTTGTTGTTGATGTACAAGTTGCCTCTCCTAGATATATCGGTTGAATTTTAATTAATTAATTCAGAGAAGGAGAGTATCAAAACAATTATGATGTACCAGTTTCATTTCGAGTTTCATTGTCAGTTTCTTCATTATCGTTCTATTAAGAACAGAAAGAATTTATTTTTATCGCTTATAACACAATTTAAAAGGTATTCACCTCATGGATAGTATTTGGATCATCAGTGGTCCAAAAGTAAATAAAAGAAAAGTTTTTTTATTCTCACAATTCAGCAGACATATAACAGAACTACATACAAATAATGGAAGTTCACTGCTTAGTGCGGACACATTAATATCTTCAGATGGCGATTCGTGTAAAACAGCATACAGATGCTATAATAAAAGCATGATGAAAGTTATGTGGAAATATGATTAGAATTTTTGTGATCGGCTTGACTATCTAACTCTGCCAGAGAGGTAAAATTTCATTAATTCTCCTTTTTATATTAGGTTTCACTTATAATTTCTCACTTAATGGAACGTCTCAAATTAAAGGGAAAAGCGTGTTGAAGATTTTGAGATGTACCCGCACTCTACCCAATGTTTCATTCAGAAAATATGATAGAAATACAAACATCTACTGGGGGAACATCTCAAAATCTTCAACATTTTATTACTTTCTAATGTTAGCAAAGTGTTTGAGAAACTTATTTACAGCCGTTTGTCTTCGTTTCTAATCGCAACAAACTTTTTAAATCGGACTCAGTTTGGATTTCGTTCTAGTACGTCAACTGTAGGCACTCTTCGTCTTACACATAAGGTTTATCAGAACTTAGAGAAAAAGAACAAGTTAATCGGTATTTCGTTTGATTTTGAAAAGACTTTCGACACCGTGCCACATTATATTCGTCTTCAAAAGCTGTCTAAAGCAGGGATATCAGGAATTCTTCTTAAATAGTTCTCTTCTTATCTTTCTAATCGTACACAAAAAGTTTCCGTTGGTTCGTCTTTTTCTTCTTCGATTCGTGTGACGTCTGGTGTACCACAGGGCAGTATTTTAGGCCCGATTTTATTTCTTATATTTATTAATGATCTTTTGCCGTCGCTCAAATCTACTCTTCTTTCTTGTCTCTTTGCTGAAGATGTCTTTTGGATCACAAATAAATTCGAAGGACAAAAATGTATCGATGAGCTTCTTCTTTGGTGTAATATAAATGAGGTAAAATTAAACATAAACAAATGTCAATGGATTTTATTTTCTAACTCACAAAAACACTTCCATCGCTCACTTTTTCAATAAAAAACATTATTATTAAGCCTGTTTCATCTCTCAAACTACTTGGTGTTATTATCTCGCATAATTTAACGTAGAAATCTCACATTGAGTATGTTTCAACAAAATCTCGGCAAATGTTAGGCTCTACTTCCAGAATTTTTAGAGACTCTCCCTCGTTTTTATGTTGCCATCTGTATAAAACTTGTGTAAGACCAGTGCTGGAATATGCTTGTATTATCTATGATTCAGCCGTTACCGCTCACCTTAATATTCTGAACAAAATTCAGCGTCTAGCTAGTAGAATTATCTCACAAGACTTTAATAGTTCCTCTTCTTATTTGCTCAAAAAAATTGAAATTCAACCACTTTCTAATAGACGTCTTTACTATCGTCTTCTATATTTTCATAAAATATTCTATAATAAAAGTCCTCTCTCATCTTTTGATTTGATCTCACCACTAACTAAGCGTCAAGGTTCTCGATTAGGTCATAGTAACAGCGTTTTCATTCCTCGTCTCAAGCTAAAATCTGCATCCGGCTCTTTCGTTCCACGTGGCTCAAAGGAATGGAATGGACTTCCTTCGGTTTTAGCATGTCAGTCTTCTTTATCTGTATTTAAGCGTATGCTAAGAGATCATCTAAGCTTTCAATAATTTTTATATTTATTACTCTTTCCCTTAAAATGTATGTCTTATAGTGGCGATTCTTTTTAGAAACTTTTTAGTTTAGGTTATCATGAGGTGTCTCCGGATGCCACAAGTCTTTTTGGTGCTTTTTCGTGATATCCTACCTTTGTGTAAAATAAATCTATCTATCTAACACACTTCTCTAGTGAATGTACTTGAGCCAAACGCTTGGATTGAGTAATGAGGACTGTACTTGTGGACTTTTTCAAGTAAATTTACTAGTCAAGCACTTGTTCAAGCACTTGGCTGAAGCGATTCAAGTGACGAACCGCGGTTCCAGTTCCATTGTGAAAACCGGTACCGCGGTACTGATTCCCGATAAAAAACCGGAAATAAGAGAATCGTGGTTCCGGTTCTTCACGAGAACCGAACATCCCTATCCCAGAGCTCTAAACATCTCATCGTTCGAAAATTATAAGAGAAACAAAATGCAAGAAAATGTAATGGAATTTTGGTCTGATAGTAGAGTTAGCTGGCTAAACCGTACTGTAGCGACGTAATATACCTATAATGTATTGATAATAGTATAATATATTCGATTGAATATCCCGCGTGTCAAATATGTCGTCTTAGATTGCTACTAAATACCTATCAAACACAAGCTGAAAAAAGTCTAGGATACTTTAACTGTATAGCGACTGAAAGTTCAACAATATCGACAATCGTTATTATCTTTTTTCAACAGTCAGCTATAATCGATACTAAATAACCTAACCAACGTATAAAAACGGCTAGTATATTTTGATAATAGGATGATTTACGTTTAGAAATATTTGACGTTAATACTGTTTAAAATAAGTAATTTATTAAAATAGGTGATCTCGTTTCCTTTCATATTTCTGACTTTGCAAATATAACATACTAGCCGATTTTTTTATCCTATTGCTTGCAAAATTCTTGCCATTTGACACTACTACGGAAATCGATAAAATAGATTGATAATTTCTATTGTCAACAAATCTTGTCATTTGAAACAAGAATGTTTTTTGATTTGTACAACCTACCACCTTCTTGAAGACTTTTTTTTGGTACATTAAGGTAAAATTTTTACTATATCTGTTACAACTCGATACAATCGTGTGTTTTCTAACTTACTAGTTTTGAACGCATCTCTTCTATGCAGAGAACAAATGCGGTTAGACCCGCGAGTTTTTCAATTTTTACGTTACTTTATGGTCTTTACGGTCTATTATACGTTATTTAGGAGACTGTCTTATTTCGAAGCTAAGATTTCATCTCAACAGCCATCTGTTTGAAAAATTTTTGTTCTTGTTCTGAAAATCGGTAAGAAATTTTAATAGTAGAAAAAAGGTAAATGGAAAATCGGTAAGAAATTTTAATAGTAGAAAAAAGGTAAATGGAAAATCTAAAAGAATTTCATATCTCTGGTTTTTAAGAGCAAAAAAGTGTGTAATGTGAGAAGATATTCTCGTACATTGTCGCAAATTAATATTTTTAAGGAAAGATTTATTCTACGTAATACAAATAATAATATAAATTTGTCATATCGACGCATTATTAAAAGAAAAAGAAAAAAAATCTGTCCCCTCCAAAGTAAAAATACTATAGAACAGACTGTTATGTAAATGTAAAAGAACCGCAAAATTCAGTGCAATTTATTTAATTCATCCCACGCTATAATCTATTCAAAAGGTTGCAATTAGATAGATGGAACCAGAAAATCGTCCGGTATGAAATGAAATACGTCGTCTGATCCTATTCGATTTCGTCTATTACTTTTAGGAGAATTGTTTTTTTGATTTCTGCTTGTATAATGTACATGATGATCGTTTATTTTTTGCTTAATTAATTTTTAGTGACACTTTTTTTAATCCTATTATTCAGAGTATGCAGTATAAATTACCATATTTAGAATAGTATCATTTAAAACTAGTAGAGATTTCAAGTTGAAAAAACTCACAGAATCTATGTCATGGAAGGACGAAGAAAAGCTTTCAATTGCTAATAATCTGTAAGATTTTCTTTCATGTGCGTAATTGTTTCGTTCTGTCATTTGAACTTGGCACGACATTTTTATGCGTAATGTTATTAGAATGTACTAGGAAACCTTTCATTTCAATTCAGATTTAGATTACAAATTAAAAACAGTAGAAGCACTCATCTAATTAACCACAGTATTCACTTCTAATTTGATCGAAAATATACTACAAAGCTGCTGACCGTATAAAAAAAAGCATATACGCCACATAATTGTATCACATTAATACCTATTTTGTTGAGCAAGTAAAGCAAGTCTCATCGACATTATAAATATCATAACTCGATTTCGATTGTTTCGATACTTTCTCAGCCTTTAAACAAATTTAGAAATAAAATATTTACCCTTGCCATTATTTGTTTTCCAATTACATCGTCGGGTTCAAATGTTAATGCCAGTAACGATGATAATAAAGCTGATGTATATCGTTTCATTTCAAATAGTACCTCACTTTTTCTCCAGTAACCCTACAGCAAAGAACAATTCATTAGTAATGTCCTACTAATTATAACATTCCCTGTTACATTCGGCCAGTTTGGTTTCAATTTGATTACATTCTCAGCATCCAAGAGACTTTCATCAAACCTATTAAGAGCTAAATATACTTGAGATCTACTATTCAATATCAAATGATTATTTTCACCTAAACATAAATAAAAAAATACAAAACCTATTTCATGTCTAGATGTTTTAGATTTTGTCATTGCTAAACGGATATCATATCATTATATTATAGTGGCAAATGAACGAACGTAATCGGAGAAAAACGAAGTGAGATAGCTTACATATATCTAATGCACTGTTAAAGTACTGAACGGCTATATTGTTATTGTGTATATCATATTCTTGTAGTCCACGATAATAGAGTGTCATACAACGTCGATGTATTTGAGAACTTGTTGATTTTTCAAATATTTCATTTAAAAGTATATTTTTTGAATATGATGCTTTTTTTCCTAGTTGAATTGGTGATTGAATTTGTCCTATAATATCAGGTGAACAACGTTGACATCCACGAACGGTATTATCTGATTCATTTTTAATACATCTTTCGCAATATGTGTGTCCACAATATAATGTGATCGGCTCGTAAAGTAAATATTGACAAATACCACAAAGAAATATGCATAATTCTGTATCAGAAGATGGTAATATTTGATACTGCCGAATAAATGGTTGCATTTGTAAAACTATCTGTTGACAAATATCTTCTAGCTGATTTTCATTATATGCTAATGTTATTGGACGTTCTAAATCTTTGATTCTTTGTAAAAAGTTTCTGATGAAACATTCTTTTCCTGATGTTTTTATTTTTGTTTGTTGTTTATTGGATCGTAGAGTCTTTCGTTTTGAACGACGTCGATTCGTACGAGGATGATAGATTTTAAAAAGTTCGGATGGTTGACGAACAAACATGCTAAAAGCAAATAAAGAGAATAAGTACCTAAAATACCTCATCATTCTGTTACATAATACCTCTTATTTATTTTATATATATTTTCTCTTTAGTCGATTCATTTGACGAAATACCAAGAAAAAAACAAAACTTTTCTATTAACAGAACAACGTATTACGAGATCAATGCGCGTTCGTTCTCTTCTTTTCTCTTATTTTTAACCTTGCATTCGGTAACAACAGCATAGATGCTTTTCTATCTATATCTTTATTGAAAGAGAAGAAAAAAATGTATGATGGTAGCTATACATATAAAATAGAGGGAAATAGAAGAACTAAAAAACTCATGTAGTGTACTTGTTTTCATGAGAAAAACATTGTTTCTCTCTTTCTGCCATGCCTAATTTCAAAGGTTATATAATATTTGTTGTTCTCATTTTATTTTTCTTTCTGAAGCGTTTTTCGACTGCACCAATTAGTATTTTAAAAAACGATCATAAAATAAGCGTAGACTAGCAGTGAGCGATATGATTTTTTGAATATTGGCATAGGATAATGAAAATTTATTTTTGAAAAGACTACGGAGAAAAAAATTTTTTTTTTCATTTTTCTTACTATAAAAGTTATATAATATTACTTCAATCGATTGAGGTTATTCAAATAATACATGTTACAGATTGTCTACTTAACAACATCTTAAAAATCCAATTTCTCTGTTTATTAATCTAAACTTCAGAGAAGAGTTACAAAAAATGAATACTATGTTTTATTTTACTTTACGTATGATTTAAACTGTTCACGAGAAAAAACAGTCATTTAAAACTTCCATCTATCAATCGAGCATCAGAAAAACATCATGTGTGTTTATACTCCACTATACTTGGATTTGAGAAATGCTCTAGAAAAAGTTCAGTTTTCAAATACTAGCTTTGTTCAAAGTAAATAAACTATGTATACTAACTATCAATGAAAAAAAAATATGATAAATGATTAAAACATGTATTCAATATTTATTATACAAAAAAAAAGCATGATTTTTTCAACGTGACAACATCCTGAACACGCGATGCATCATCAGTCTTCTTTCATTTTTTTTTTCTTTTTTACTGTTCTTTTGTAAAAGAAAAAATTTGCGTAAAAACAGCTTTTATTTTTTTGTTATTTCTATTATTAATATCAACGACAAAAGTTTAGGCCGTTTTGTTCTTCTCTTTCACCATCAAAAACATTTGAAGAGGCTCAAAGTGTGATAAGAATGGCTGAAATTATGCATTACATCACAATCCATATTATATGAACTTTGTTAATTTAGTATTGGAATTAGGTTAAATAAAAATATTTTTTCTTGAGCAGACAAAAGTTGAGTCCCGTTTTTATTTTATTTATTTATTGTCCACTCAAACGATCATCGACAGATGTATAAATTACATAGTTCGATCGATAATTTTACGGGCAATAGATAAAACAGAGTGTTTAAAAGTTATATAGTTTTTTTTAATTTAAAATTAGCCTTTATCACTTTCATTAAACTTGTTAGAATTTAGTGCAGGGGGAAAAAGCAGCACCTAATGTCGATTAGGATGCTGAAAGGGTAGTGCCTTGCAAAACATAAGATAGTGGGATCAAATCACACATTGCATGGATCCTTCTGTCTACAAATAAACTTGGAGAAGGAAGTTTGGCTGCCATCATAAAGAGATGGACACAATAGAGGACTCGGATCTTGCATCCTAGCGTACATAAATTCTAGAGAGGTGTGAGAGACTTATATTTCCTCTACTTATAAGCCCTTGAGAGGTTATTGTACGTGTGCTTTATAATACGTAGTGTATGTATATTATACTTTTATTTCGACCATTCTTTCAAAAAAATTAACAACCTACTGACACTAAAAACTAATATATCTGCTATATGCCAAAAGATAAGAACAAAACGAAAAAGAAAAAGAAAAAGAAAAGGAACATCAAAAATATCAAAAAGGAAAGAACGGAGCGGACCAAAGCAAAATACCTATCTACAGAGATAAACTGTACATTGGAAGTAGACGTTGTGAACAATAATCGTCACAAGGTGGTCTTCTATAGCGTTCCTAAAAAAAAGCCTGTTTTTAGCTAAAATTGTTTAATATGAAAGTCTGCACTATAGACAAGGTTGTTCCTACAGCTCACTCATGACTGCTGTTTATTTTTATTTTTTGTCATTTCCAATCAACTTAGGAGCGTAACTCATATAAGATTTATAAAAAAATCAGACAAAATTTTCCTTTTTTGTATCGCATCCAGAGTTGCTAGATGGTCCGCATTTTGCGAACAAATTCCGCTTTCTGTAGTCTTTTCCGCAAAGTGTCCGCTTTTCGAGGATTTTGTTGTTGTTGTTTTTTTTCTGCAATGAACATTTTTACATTTTCTCATAAAAAGTTTGACGCCTTCGGCGGCTGAATCATCTGTCAAAACAATGTTTTTGCAACTTTTAAAAAACAGATGTGGACTGTTTTAGGAACTAAATCACAAATTTGCTCCGGAAGTAAGCGCTAACAGAAAAACATTAGCTTGTCTCAAGTGCTGCTGGAAGGGAGTATGAAAAATAGTGCAATACTAAATCTTCAAGGCAGCCAATTCGGCCAGAAAATCTTAACCATTAAGTGCTGTCATAGGCGGGAAAGTTTCGAATTAAATTTTATCCTGCCATACATAACTCTTGAAATTTATGACGGCTGATCAAAAACGCGCATCCACAAAAAGCCAATATCGATTCAAATTGAGATTTAAATGATGTTTCGTACTTCTTTTGTGTTTCTTAAGTGGAACCATCATAAAGCGCTAGAAAAACTTTTTTTGACACTCCTTTGTGTTTCCGCATTTTGGAAAAAAAATTTCGCTTTTTTCCGCTTTTCTGACCTAAGCATCTGGCAACTCTGATTGCATCATATCATTGCACAAAATACGTGAATGCACGCACACGTGCATGTTCCTTTCGCTGTCAGCTGTGTGTTCATTCAAACAGCTGAGTAGAAAGACGAAGAAAAAAATAGTGTGAATGAACGACAAAAATCAACATATTTTCTGACCGAAAAATCGATAAAAAGGGGGAGGGGCGGTATTCTATTGTGGTTTTTGCGTTCTGAGCCCAAGAGGAGTCTTGTATTAGAGAGGATCCTCTGTTGTGTCCATCCCTTCACTGCTAAAAAGACAATAATACTTAATTTTTTGATTCACAATTTCACCCTTTAACTATCTGCCACCTTAAATTTTTTGACTTTTTTAAAGTACAGGTACATAAAAAAACGTAATTAATTCACAGGGGAAGTGCACAACAGTTTCATTGAGTGAGTAGGGGGCATGCACCGAGTAATTGACTAAGGATTTTATGTCTTTTCAAAACCTGGTGTTTCGTAAATTGCTTCGTTAAAAATTTTCTGACTGGATAAGAATGTAGAGCAAACATTTCTCTAAAAATGAGAGGTTGGACAGCTCTGTATGATTTGTTTTGAGATTTCGACAGCGATACCTCGAGAATACATAATCGAGTAGTGAACGAGTCTCAATTACTCGATTAGTCCCTTATGGAGGCATCGTTGTCGAAATCTCAAAACCAATCATACAGAACTGTCCAACCTCTCATTTTTAGAGAAATGTTTGCTCTACATTCTTATCCAGTCAGAAAATTTTTAACGAAGTAATTTACGAAACGCCAGGTTTTTTGAAAAGATATAAAATCCTTAGTCAATTACTCAGTGGATTCCTATGAGTGAGAGAGCAGAAAGACTTAAATCCAGGGATCATAGATCTTCTGATTTTACCAGAAAAAAACTGATTTTTGGAACTTTTTCTGCCTCGTTTCTGCTCTTTTTTACCCTGAAGTCTACTACTTTTCTGATTTTCTACTTCTTTCCCTCAGATTTTTCTGATTTTCGTGTTTTGGATCCGGGATCAAAAATGGGCCTTTCTCAAGAAGTGTGCATCGGATATGAGTACTTCTGTGATGTATAGGCTCAATTAATTTAATAATTGGGAAGAACATAGGAATAGAAAACTTCATCCAAGATAGAAAATTTCTTGACTGAAGTCCCACAGCTTATTATTAACTTCTTAAACACAGATCGAACATAGTTCAACATTATGGGGGGAAATGCAAGGAGGGTTTACACGAGGCATTAGAGAGCCAAAATTGCTGTGTACTCGTACGGAATCCTTTGTCTTGGATGTATGAATTTCGTAAAAACATGTCTTTTTCATTTGAAGATAAAAATTGTAGGGTCCTAAAGGGATCATGGGGCTGATAAAAACCTCAAAAACTGTTTACATCATGTTATCGAAGAAAACTCCGAGTAAAACATGGTGTAATCAAATCTGAAAAAGCTATAGTCACTTTTAACGCCGAAGTATAGTTAAATGCTGATGACTATCCAAAAAGCAGGTCCTGTTCTTGATTTCTTTTACTGGTCAGGAAAAAAAACAGATCCTGACGAAGGAAAGAGGACAAAGACTTTTTTACTTACAGTTTGCTGACCAGTCGTCTGCTCAGGGAAACTGGACATTCTCTAGGAGGGCGACTGATAGATTTCTTCTAGTTGCAACTATCGATTTATCGACCGATAATCAACCGATTTAACTATTGCCAGTTACACATGCAGATGCATCTAGATAAAAGTCCCTTTTCCACCTAGTAATCTAGATCGCAACTTCTCGTATATCGCCCGATTACAGACGAAACGTATCTAGATGTGTTCCCATAGGTGGTGTTTGCTTGGGAAGTGTTATGGAAATAAAAATATAGCATCAATCGTAGGAAATTTTTTTCCTTCAACTTTAATGAAAACATATAACACATAACAAATATATATGAAAACTATATGCAGACATGTGTGCTGATCACTAATATGACATCAAAGCTTTGAAAACCGTCGTCTTTGCTGAGAAAATTTCACTACTATTTGTCTCTACTTGGTACTATACGGATTTTTGCCAACCATCATCATTATGGCAGGCTCTAAAATTCCGAAAATGTACCAGCTAGATGTA